CCCTTTCCCTCCTCCTCCTCCTCCTCCTCCTCCTCCTCCTCCTCCTCCTCCTCCTCCTCCTCCTCTCTTCCTCCTCCTCCTCCTCCTGCTCCTTCGATTCCCCCCTTATCCTCCCCCTCTTGGTGTATGACGTCTCACCCAGCCCTTTATTCCAATGCATGTTCCTCCGCATCTCGGATCAGGCCAACTCGTCGGGGCATCGTTTCTGCATGGGCTGGTGAGATTGCGCGACGCGTCTAGAACTGTGAGCTCCCAGCAAACGCGCTCGGAATCTCTCGCCCTCCTTGCCTTCCCACCCAGATTCCAATCACCGTGCTACATAAGGAGTGTTAAACAGGGAACGAACGGGCGTTTCTGGCCACGGCGAGCCTCGGCCACGAAAGGCTCCCCGACCGAAATGCAGGAACGCCCAGAAGACCAGGGCCCCTCGTAAGTCTAAAGTGGTCCTTAGTTCAGCGGTTGGCTGTAAGGGATTGACGGGAAGCTGAAGCAGGCCGGCCCGACATGGAGAAACACGCAAACACATGTGTGCAATATCACGCCCATCCCCTCTTCCCTTGCTACTACTGCGAGTCCGTCGTGGCCCGAGCTGAACATGAGCCCATTGCCTTCTGACTCTCACATGAGATGTCATGTTCCTTTCACTGATACGACTGCGTACGCTAACGTGGGACGGGGAACCTCTTCGTCAATATCGGTCGCCCCAAGCAGCAACACTGACCAACGCAAAGGCACCGCCCATCCAATATGATTTGGGCTGGCTCCGCATCATTCATTGCGGTTGGGGTGCTAAGACGCGGGGCTGCAGATGGGTGAAAAAGCCACCGGGTTGCAGCCACCCTTGGGCCAGAATGGCGAATCATGTCATGTAGTGCGCTTCCAAACGACGAATGGAACGGTCCAACATGCAAGACTACGAATAAGAAAACACACGGGAGGACATACTAAACACGTAATTCACTGCCACTGGGAAATCGTCGCCCACGAGCACGCCTGGAACCAGACTCGGGGGAAATGAAACAACCCTGTCAAACACTGCGAGAAATGCAATGTCCAAACGGTTCCGCTCCGCCCAACGGAACTGTGATACTGCCGAGTCGAAAACTGAACCTTCCGCTGCAGTGTGCTGCAATCTCCGTTGTGTTGTCTGGTGCCACTACAGCGTAGTCTAACACAACATTGAAGCCCTTGTAGCCGCAGAAGACCCACCAAGACCCCAATGATGCCCCAAGACGGCCCGAGATGCGACCTAGATGTCACAAGAAGCGCAGACTCCCAACACGGCTCAGAAGAGCATCGATAGAACGCCAAGGCGGATATAATCCAGGAGCCGGCCAGGATGGCCTTCGAGGACGCCAGGACAGCCCGAAACACTCCCCACATGGCCCTGGCGTGCCCCCGCAACAGCTGGATGACGGCATAGGCTGATAGGTGGGCCAAGGTTTGGCAACGCGGGCGTCGCCGAAAAGGCAGGGGCCGGCGGCGCATGAATGGAGGCGTCCTTGATGAGATAAGAGAAAAGAGGTGGTGATACGTGGGCTGCTGATCGAAGAGCGGAGTGGATAATAAATGAAGCACGCGACAGGTTATGATACACGCATATGTGTCTTCATATGTACATACGTACGCAGCCGACTCGAGACCTCGCTCCTATGGGGCTCTGTGAAAGTGCGGCGGGTGGGTCTATGGGGCTGGGCGTGGGGTGCGAAACAGGTTGACAGAAACATGAATGAGGAGAAATGGGGGGAGGTGGTAGTACGAAGCAAGAGGGCTGGAGGACCAAACTCTCCAGCTCCCGAACATTGCCCGGGCGCCCCGACGCTCCCAAGACGCCCCGTCGATGCAAGGCATCACAGGCGCTCGCAGACGCTCCTACACGTTCCCGGAAGTTCCGCGCATTCTGAGGGTAGCACCGGCGGTGCCCGGAGGGTTGCCAAAAAGGTTTTGTGCATCCCGAAGGTCTGATACCCGCCCGCACCAGGAGCGGCGCTGCTAAAGCGACTCCCCAGGATACGACGATCCTGGGGGCGGGGTCGCTCCTCACCAGGCACCGTCGATTGTATACACACATATACACTCAATTTGTGTACGTGTACAAGTACATTGTACAGATATACGCTGTTGGAACATTGAAATGGCAATGAAAAGTGACAAAGCAGGCATGAGCTACGCCGGGGAAAAGCATGGGTGAAATACGGCGAGTGGAATTTTCATCCCGTGCGCGGTGACTGCTATGCAAACGGCTGACAACAACTCGCTACCCACTGGCCTGGGTGGCAACATGCGCTGCGGGAATGGATGCAAGGCGTGAGATCGACCAGCTAGCGAGAATCACTGCATCTTCGCCGCACATGGGATGCTTACCCTTGAAGTCTTGTCTTCGCCTGTACCGAACGGTCGCGGACGTCGCAGCCGGCACCGTGTAATGTTACTGGACGCGGTGTAAAAGGCTGAGTAGAAGGATGGCACTCATTCTTCCCCAATTAGTACGAGCAAGTGCGGTGATAGTCCGATGGAGCGTGTACAACTTGTACCAAGGGAAACAAAGGAACGCGATGTGCCCCTCGGACACTTCCCTCTAACTTCAGGGAGGGGGGAGACAGCGCTGCACTCTGTTGCGCTGCGCAAGCACGAAGCGCGCAGAAAACATATCCCGAGTGCGTCGGGCAAGGCGGCCCGAAAGAGCTCGCGCTTGCAATCAATGGGCGGTCCATTGCTTACCAAAGCCCGTTACAAAATGGATTCAAACGGACTCATTTCCTGATCGTCGGGCGCACTAGAGACCAGTGTGCCTCGAGGATTCGCTGACAAACATGTTAGACGCAACTTTCAGGCTTGGCTTCTGCGGGGCCGCTGGTGAAGTCATGATGACTACTTGTTCATGCAATCGTCTTGGTCCCAGAAAACAGCTCTGCTGTCGTTCGCGATCTACCGTGCGAGCCACTTTGCAGAGATGTGTTCGATGAATTTACATATGGCCAACACCTGTTCGACCCGCCGAACGTAGTCGTCGGCATTCTTCTCGCACCCCGTCATGTTGAAGTCGCCCATGTTTTTGGCAACAATGAGACCGGCGCGGGATCGGAAAATTGCGGGTTTAAACCTGATGCTCGCGTCGTGTTGCGCAACTTGAGTGAGGTGGCCCGGCGAGCGGTGTCAGACATCTCTAGCAGTGCCGACTCTCGTCGTGAATAGAGAAGCCAGCTAATGCAAGCAAGCGGTGCCTGTGCGCTCCCGACTTGAAGGGCAAACCGTGCTCTGTGAGATCCCCGGCCAGTCGCTGCGGCCAGCTCCTTGCAGGTAATGGCCTTGGGGAACGCAATGTCAACGGCCGCGCAGGCCAGGATCCACTATGGGTGAAAGGCTGTTTCGCTGTTGAGCAGCCGTTGCGATTGGCGGCGGGCATTGCCGGGGACGGTTCGATATCGGATGCCCCAGCACCAATGGGGCCCCTGAGAAATAATCGTGGACAAAAGGCGCGCGCTTGCTTGACCTGCTGGTGGCAATGTGCGATGCTGTGGGCCGTGCGTCTCGAAACACTTGTTGCCAAACCGTATGTTCAGCTCGGCGCGCAAAGGCTTTACTGACTCCCATTGGACCGCCCGCAGTGCCCACGCGGGTAAGTAGGTCCTCTGCCTTGGCGACAACTGCGCGCGTAGCGGCAGCCGGCGCGTCCATGCGCATGGCTGCGATAACCCTTCCATCCTGTGACGGGTTTCAGCTGCGCGGGTGCCGGGGCGGCTTTTGCCCTGTGGGCTGTATAACACATGTCCACAAGTTGAACATTCTCGTCTTCGTTCAACTGATCCCCGTCATCAAGGTCAGACGAGCAGAGGGAGACAAGGCAATCGTCGTTGCGGTAGGGCTCGCACCCCGCGCGCGCGATCGTGCAAGTCTCCCTGCGGATCGCCGTCTTTGTCCATCACTCTGATTGACGCCCGTTGATCAGGCATCATTGTGGTAGGCACGCGATGGACATCGCTGTGCCGGACGGCGACTGGGCGAAGGTCCAGGCGCGGTCCGTCGCGCCAGCCCTCGAGCATCATGGCCTCGACGTCGCGCTCAACATATTCTCTAAGCGTTGTCGAGAACCGACGGCCCCTGTTGTCCTACTACACGGGGGCTTCTGGGTCGCATCGGTGGCCGAGCCCGTTTCGATTCGATGGGGGTTTGGCCAACTCATTGCACGTGGCCAGGCCCTCATCAGAAATCACGGTCTGGTTCGAGGATTCGCGGCGTGGGAGTAAGGGGGCAACGGGAGTGGGCGCAGCCAGTGGTGCTGTCCACGCGTCGGCCGGTGCCTTCGCATTCGTTGCAATGGAATCGAATGCCCATATCCCTATCGTGCTGTGCCAGCGCACAGCTAGAAGCATATCTGACTGGTGGGGGGGGGGGCTGATTGCGATGACCTCTAGTTTCGGATCAGATGCTGCAAGGCCAGATGTACGCGGAGGTTCAGCTTGATTCCTGCATTGATCCTGGTGTTTCCCTTTCCGTCGGGGATACGTCCACAAGCTAGCAAATCCCCCTGCTCCTGGATCTGCGATGAAGGAGCCAAATGTCCGCGTAGCCACGTTGTCCATGCCTAGCTGGCCCGCGAAGGTAAACTCCGCATGTCGGGCGCGTCTGACGTCGGGATATTGGACTACAATGTCTCTCGTGCCAGCCAAGGTCGCAAGCTATCCGCGACCAGGCCATTATGACAGCAGGATATGGTCCATGAAAGCCACCATGGTAGTCCAGCGTCGCCGTAGGTCTTCGACCGCCCACGAGGTCCTCGGGTCTGTTGAGTCGTCCCCGTGATTGGGCGCGCGTGCACGTAGAGCGTGATTCAGCTTCGCGACAGCCGTCGCATGCGTTGGGATGTCCAGACTAACCTCGGGATCGTGCCATCCGCGTGCATGTCCCGATATCTCCGAGGGCCCCCGGGTCAGCGGGGGTGTCCAGATCTGTCAAAAATGTCAACAAGTTGTTTGCCAAGGTATGCCTGATTCGGATACCTACCATTGCAGAACGTCGCAGGGTAGCCCGCGAATGTCGCCTCAGCGAGCACGCTATTGAAGACATGGGCGGTGTTGTAGCGCTTTAATTTGTCTTCGATCATGTGCAGTGTCGTCTGCAGCGCGCCAGTTCGTGCCTCGGCGGTGGCGGCGCGCTGTGCAGGAGCTCGGACCTTGAGGGCGGTGCCAAGTCTATTGACCCTAGCGCTTCAATGTCCCGGCGGCCTCAATCGATTCGAGATCCTCGTCTGTCATCCGGGGGGCGGCGGATTCCCCCGCCGCCGCCGCCGCGGCAGGGCCAGAGGCACGCCCAGGGGTCGGTCGGTCCAAGCGCCAAAACACCTCATCGATCTCGTCCTGTATGATTGGCGCCAGCGGCGGGTCGCCTTCCCCAGTTGGGGTGCGGCCCCGGTTGGGGATCAGAGACGCACTCCCAGCGGGGCAACCTGGCTGGTGTTCTTGCCATCTTGCCGAACATGGGCCGTGCCGTCGGCGGTCGTTGCGCGAGCTACTGCGACTTGGGCGGTCCTGTCGAGCCTCTTGCGCGATCGTCCCGTCTGCGTGCCAGGCCCTCCATGGCGCGCCCGAGCTGGTCACGATGTGGCGGATTTCCACTTCCAGAAGCCGAATGATGGCCGGCGCGAGCGCGGGGGTCATCACGCGCGGGCAGTGCGCCGCCGTGAATTTCTGCCGCGCGTTGGACATTGGGCTTACGTGGGCGTTCAGGCAGGCGCTCTCCCCAGCTCGTCTCGCGGGCAAGCAACGGCGCGCGTGCGCAGGTGGCGCTGGCGCGCAGTCATCGCGGGGGCGAAGATCTCCAGGATCGCCTGTGCTATGGCCGGAGTCGGAGGCGTCGTCGCCACGAACTAGATCGGTTGTGACCTCGTCTCCGTCGAGGCCCATCTCGTCTCCGCCCACTGCCTGTGATGTAGGTCGGCCAATCACCATCTTCATGGGGCCTTCGTGGTCAGCGGAAGACGCAGCGGCGCCTGGCGCGGGCTCGGGCGTGTGTCTGGGCTGCTGAAGAGGCCTGCCAGCCCTGGTCCTGCGACGCTCATTGAGGGCAGCGCTAAGTGCTTCAACCAGAACATGACCTAGTCTTAGGTTGCACAACCACGCGCAACTACCGCGCAATCGTTGCAAACGTCCGTGTCCGTGAGGACCCCAGTCGTAGACGTCGTGGTCGTCAGGGTTCATATCGATGTCAGTTGCAGGATGCGTGGCAGGGGGAATAGCAACGTTCCTGACTAGCTCGTTTGCGAGTATTCGCGGAATCACCTCTGTGTGGGGTCTCGTCGAAGCCCACTTATCCAGGGTCCAAGTGGCAAATCGAAGGCGATGGCCTTGGGCGGGCTTCCGCGCTGGACAGCAGTCGCCGCCGCGACCGCCGCGTCGAGGTCGCTGGGGACTGGGGCGCCGTCGGGGGACTCCTCTGCGACCATGGTTTCTCCTCGTTCCAGAAGAGCCAATCCTTGAAGGTGACCTCGAGGCCGCGTGCTTCTTGCTTGCACATGACCTCCGCGAAGGCACCTCGGGCGCACATCTGCAGCTCATCGGGGCCGTCAGCGAAGTTGTGGTCGACGGGCAGAGGGGCCCCCATTGCCTCGAAGTGCTCGAGCGAGCGGTATTCGGCCCGACCCCCTGCGCCTGCGCCGCAGTGAGCCTCGGCGACGGGGCCCCGCCCATTGCCCTTTGGTAGGCAATCATTGAGTGGCAATCGTTGGCCAGCCGCATCCACGGCACTGGAGGGTCTCGAATTGCGCAAACGATGGAAGACCTTTACCTACACACCCCCGAAAACAATCTCGCCGAATGGATATTCCGACAACTTTCCGCGCGGGCGCATCCGCGACCCGTTGCCTTAACCTTTGCCTACCATCGTCTTCCTGATCGCCGCCCTTGTCTGTCGCGCTGGCTCGCGGGTGAAACTCCTCCCCCTAGCCGCCTCCGCTTCGCCCGTCGTTGTGCCGGCGTCGATCTTCTGCCCTTTGTTCGTCGACATTCGTGTTTTGAACATCTACCCAATGTAAGATTCATGTCCTTGGGGGAGGCAGTCAGAGTCAGCTCCAGAATGGCAATCGGTTTCGATGGCGCATGCTGACTCCGTCGGTTGCAACTCTCCCGGATGGGTGGAGGTGCGCTGGGGTGCTGTCGCAGTGCGGCCAGTGCGCCAGGTCGCTGGCACTGCTAGAGGCCTGGGGGGCGAGCAAGCAGAGCCTATCTGTCGCCGGCCGGCGCGTGCGCTATGCTCGTTTCCAGGCTCCGAGGCGTCGGTGGCGTGCGCGTGGTCTGTTAGGATATTTTCACTTGAACCACGTCCGGATACCGATCCGACGGTCTTTGGTGGGCGCCCAGCGATGTGTCCCGCGGGCCGCGCGCGCTCGACTGGGGCTTCGTAGTCCACGCGGGCGCGTGACATCTTGCGGTTCGGCGGCGGCAATGGCTGCGTAGCCCCCTGGGCCCCGAATCGAAGGGCCCCGGGCAGCGCCGCGGCTGAAAGTTCAAAGTTCGGCACTAATCCAGCACGCGGCGCCCCGAGGCGCGCCTTCTCGAACCTGGCAAGGGTCTCGCGCGTCAAAGTCAAGGCCTGGAGAAACGCAGGAGCGCGGTTGTCGGTCTTGCGCCTGAAGTGTCACTGACCTAGGTCCAGTGGCCAAGGCGGGGGGCGAACCTCGCGCGTTCTGCCGCGGACCAGGCCAGAAATCGACGAACGGGCACCATCGATCGCGCCCGGTGCCGAGCGCCTGGCGCGCGCGAGTTTGCATTCGGCTTGGGGGCCAAGCTTGCGAGATCACGCCGTAATAGCATTCGGTGCGCGACTGCGCCCTCGCTGCCGCATCGGGCCCGGATGGGATAAGTCAGCGCCAGCGCCTCGCGCGCCCATAGAGAATGCTCGAGAGAGGGGCGGGGAAAAGGGGCCTCAATGTTGAAAATGTCGTGGGAAGGCGCCTGTAGCTTGAATCTTCAAGCAGTCGCCATTATTTAGTCTCGAGGCCAACGTGGCGATTGTTCAATGCTACGCAATGGGCAACGCTCCACGCGCGCGCCGCCGCGGCGCGCACTCGGGAAGTTCCGCGTCGCAGCGGGCGCGGGTAAGTGCGCCCCGCGACGGCGAACTTATCGGCGCCCTCTCGGTGGCCCGAGAATCCACTGCATCGCGCCAATTTCCGCCGGGCGGGGCGCGGCCAGAGACTCGGCGAGCCATTCCAAGACGGCCTGGGAAGACGGATTCGATCACGCGCGCATGGATGCCGATGGGCATGGGCACGGACAGCAGCGCGCGCGGCCACCGCGCCCGTTTGCGCCCCGTCGGCGCGCGCGATTGGCACTGCGAGCGGTTATTTGCGAAGATGGCAGCGCTGCCGGGCTGCCGCGGTTGATCGCTGGGCAAGGAACATTTCGTCGCGCGAGCGAGAAATGTCTCGGCGTTTTCCCGCATTGGCGCGGGCGGCGGGCAAAGCCAGTGTGGCTTCGCGCGGCTTCCGGCCCGCTTTGTCGCAATCCTCTTCGGGCGCGCGCCAGCCCGCGGGCGGCGCGCAACGCCGCTTTCGTTGGCGCGCGAAGCTGCCGGGAAGGCCTCGCGCGGCTCTTGCCCGGCTTCGTCGCAGGCCCGGCGACTTGCGTCGCCAGTTTTGCTTCGCATGTCTGCAGAACAGAACCGTTTTCTCATGCGTTCTTGGTGCAATATGTAACACTTTGTTTCGCGGGTCTCTAGATGGCGGCGGACGCCCCCCGACAGTTTTGGCGCGCTGGCGGGGGCAGTGCGAATCGGCATCGCATCGGCAAGCGCCACTACTCACGAAATAGAGGAAGCCTGCCGTCCGTCTCCACCCAGCGCCATTCCGATTCTAACCTCCGGGCAAGCTGGCGCAGCCCTCCTGGCCCTGGAATTCGCGCGGCAGCGTCGCGGGCGCAGTGCGCGATTCGCGGCGGCGGGCGCAGTGCAGCGGCAGCGTAGCCATCAAGTTGCACCCGCTGTAGACATCAACATCCCCGCTCCCGTGCGCCAGCCCCGAGCGGAAAACCGCTCTCGCCTCGGGGTGGGTCGCGCCCCCAACCTGGATGGCGCGCTGCGATATTTGTTCGCATTGCCAGTTCGAGCAAATCAGAGCGGGCCAATCCTGCAAACGGCAGCCCATGGGACCGCGGGCGCGCGATCGTTGCAATAATTGGCCCTGTCAGGTTTCAAAATTTCTCGACGTGGGGGCGCTGGGGGGCGGGGGCTGCCATCCACGGCCGGCGCGTCGATGAGTTGCCGCGCGCGATTCACAGGCGCGCGTGTTCGCGCATAGCACGATGAATCAAGCCTCTGTCTCAAAGGTGTTCAAAGGTGTCCTTGTTGTTCAGATGTGTAGTAGCCGGCCAGGGAATGCAGGGGCGCAGAAGTCGATGGCATTTTTGCCGTCGACACGTTTGGCTAGGCGACGTTTGGGGGAAGGCCGGCAAAATAACTCTCCAGACCCTTGCAGTCTTGCGCGTGCGCTTACTGTTGGGCACGTGGAGATCGATAGATTGAGCGCCTGAGGTGGGCTGGGGCTCGTCTTCGACTCGCTGGAAACGCATGATCATAATGACCTTGATGCGCGTGGCAAAGTCAGTGAGAATGCCTCATGCTCGCGCCGGAATGTTTGGTGTCTGGAGGGGTGCGCGTGGCGATCTTGCGCGCGACTTCCCCTTGCCCTCGCTGCAGGGCTGGAATTTGTCGCTGCGGGGGGGGGGTGCACGTGCGCTTACTGAAACCAGAAAGTCGTTGACCTCATGCGCGAATTCCAGAGACGGTGCATGTCCGCTGGGGTGCCACGATGGGGGTGCGTTGACGCTGCTGCCCCCCATTGCGGTCGGTGTATATATCCAATAGCGGATCCAACGCGCACTCATGTTATAACATAGACAGCCAGCCATACAACGTTCAGCACTGACGTGGGTTGCTCAGTGGCCATTCCGCGCGCGGTGTCTTTTTTTTTTGCGTGCGGCCAAGCGTCGTGGTTGGAGTATTCGCAAGTTGCTGTGCGGAATGTTTCCATGCTTGAGTAGATGGGCGCTACCTAGCTCGTGCTACGCATGATCTATATGCCTCACAGGTTTGGAATAGACTACACTTGGAACAGTCGGTTGGACCTCTCGGGTCGGCTCAGGCAAGTTGGACTCGTTGCCACGTTCATCTCGAAAAAATACACGGAGCCGCGGATAGACTGTGGGCTCATGGTCTGGAGTGGCGATGGTCACGTGGATCCTTCAAGAGAGTAGTACTATAAAACCGCAAATGAGAGGCAACCACACGAGAGTGCGGCTAGATCCGCTACAGAGTCGCAAACAATGTAGTAACGTCACAAGATACATCGCAAGCAACATAATTCAATGGTGTTGGACGGGGTGTAATAGGCGGGTGGAAGAATGGCAATCCTTTTCCTTTCCGGACACCACCAACAACTGCTTTGGACGCCCGAGATGGGCACTGAAACATGGGCCAACAGCAAATGTTGTCCCGAACCAACAGCGGCCGATGTTGGGCAGGCGGCATTCTGTCTCAAATGGGCACAGGCCTCGGCGGCGCAGACAGCGAGTCCTGTTCGAAATGAACAGGAACTGCTGTTGGGCATCGTACCATTCTTTCGGTGCCCACCTCCTTCGTGCAGAACTGCGCTGGCAATGCCATTAATTTCGGGCTCCACCCGGGATCTATCTGACCACGCCCTGGAATTGTAACCGGTGTTTCCCACGGCCACTTCAAAGGTTCATCCACGACTTCGGCTCACTGTAACCAAAAACTGACCGGAAGCATTCCCGTTTTCACGATGTACCAGACTTTCGGCCATCTGGCACCAAGGGCTACCTATACATGTCTTTTCATCTCTCGACCCACAGCCTCGGCACGCCATCATCCGTCCAGGACATGTTGGGGTTCTTAGACTTTTCCAAGTCAACCACCTCGTGTTGGTGGCTTCGTTGCTCGGGCGCAGCTGCATGCACCTCTTCGGCACTCCGGCGCAAACCTGCATGGTCTGATCTATCTGGTCCCTTCCTTGCCGTATGGCCAAATTACACTTCCGCTTCGTGCCTTTAACCGAATACCTTCGAGAATAAACACTAGGGGATAATAAAGTTCGGGGTTCAGGGGGGGATAATCAAAGTAGCCCACCAGACCTCAGCATAATCTCGAAGTAAGAGATGATCAAGAGGAGACCAAAACGAGCACGTTTTGGGACATCCTTGGCGTTTAGTCTTCATAGAAATATCCTCAACAATGGCTTATCTCGCTGGAGACATCCTCGACAAATCCCTCGATAATAAATGAAAAGGATAAAGAGAAGAGGAAAGGAGGATAAAACAACAAATCTGAAGATTCAAATGTATTAAATTTTATTTACAAGCGCTTTATGAAAATTAAAATGTTTAAGTGCTCGTGTAGGGTAGGTAGCTCACGTGCCTCGTTTTCCCTGGATAATCAACCCCAGCGATAAACAAGTTCAGGGCGCCAGGGGGAGGAGGAGGAGGAGAAAGAGATAGAGAGACAGAGAGAGAGAGAGAAAGAGAGACAGAGAGGCCAGGAAGGAGAAAGAGACAGAGAGACAGAGAGAGAGAGAGAGAGAAAGAGAGACAGAGAAAAAAAGAAAGAGAGACAGAACGAACCACAAAGAGACAGAAGGACATTGGTTTCGCTTGAGACATCCTGAAACAACGTGTTCGCTTCGCTTGATGTTGTTATCTCAACATAAGAAGGAAGTAACTTCGATGGCGAACTTTTCCCGTGATAATGCAGTTCGGCCTCCGCGCCCCCGCGCCCCCGACCAAACTCTTATTGGTCGACGATAAAAAACTCTAACGACTTAAGGGGGGGGTCACTTTATTCTCATCGGCATGCGGTTATTCGCGTCCAGTGCATCCCGCGGCTCGCTTTGACTGGCGCCTGACCGTCTCGCACACACGGGGGCCCGCGGACTTGAAAAAATGTGCTAGTCGTCGAGTAGGGCCCGCATACCTTGAGCCAATGGCAACAGCAGAGGTGCGCGCCGCGTCCCCCAAACACCTCCCCGTAAAGCTCCGAAGCGGGCGAAAGCGCCCAGGTCGAAAAAAATTGAGACGCCAAGATCTCCGGGAAGCTCGAACCTTGCTCCGCGAACCCCTTTTCGGCGCTCCTGACCAGAAACGAATCGGGAACCTAGTTCGGGTCGGAACGTGCATCGAATCTGGCTGCACCTGCACGGAATCAAAATCGAATTGCATCGGCAGCGCCACAATACACAACAACGCCATGAAACCATCGGTCCGCATCGGGTCTCGCATGAATGTCAGAATCGAATCGGATCGGTCTGGTCAACATCGATTGCGAATCGGATCGATCGGACAGAAAAAGACCATGGAGGGCACTCAGGGGCCGTCTTTTCTGGAGGGCCGCGCGGGGCAGTCTCTCACGCCGGAGGTGTGGGCGAGACCGCAGGAGCTCGCGCTTGCCATTGAGTGCACGAGCGGATGGGGAAAGGATCGTCCTCATCCAGCTCCTCCAGCTCCTCCCCCTCTCCCCTTCTCCTCTTCCTCCGGCTCCTCCTCCTTCTCCTCCTCCTCCCCCTCCTTCTCCTCCTCCTCCTCCTCCTCCTCCTCCTCCTCCTCCTCCTCCTCCTCCCCCCTCCTCTCCTCCTCCTCCTCTCCTCCCTCTCCTCTCCCTCCTCCTGTTCCTACTTCTCCTTCTACTCCTCCTGCTCCTCCTCCCTCCTCCTCCTCCTCCTCCTCCCTCCTCCTCCTCCTCCTCCTCCTCCTCCTCCTCCAGCTCCTCCCTCCCTCCCTCCCCCTCCTTTCTCCTTCCTCCCTCCCTCCTCCTCCCTCCTTCCTCCGACCTCCTCCTCCTCCTCCTCCTCCTCTCCCGCTCTTTCCCCCCTTCAGCTCCCTGACCCTCCTCCCCACCTCCTCCCGACCTCCACCCCTCGCACCTCCTCCACCTCGACCTTCTCCGCCTCCTCCGCCGCCTTGCCCCCTCCTCCTCCTCCGCCTCCTCCTCCTCCTCCTCCTCCTCCTCCCTCCTCCTACACCACCTTCGCCTCCTCCGCCTCCTCCTCATCCTCCTGTTTCTCCTGTCTTCCTCAACCTCCTCCTCCCCCTCCTCCTTCGCCTCTTCCTCACCCTCCTCCATTACCGCCTCCTCCCTGTCCCTCCGCCTCCACCTCCGAAACCTCCTCCTCCTCCCCCTTCTCCTCCTCCGTCTCTCCCTCCACTTCCACAGACCCCGCCACTTACACTTCCACTCCGCCTCCTCCACCTCCGCAACCTCCTCCTCCTCCTCCTCCGACTCCACCTCTCGTCATCCACGTTCTCCTCCCTCTCCTCCTCCACCACCTCCACCTCTTCCGCTCTTGCTCTTCCTCGCCCTCTCTCTCCCAGGGGGGGCGAACGAGCTGCATGCACGTAGCATGTCGGAGGTCCGCGCGCACTTCGTGGATCGGCACCGGATCACACCCCGAGACGCCACCACGGGGGTTTGGCGCCGATCCGAGAAATCTGCGCAGACCTCCACATGAGAAGTTATGTGTAGTTGGTACGTGTTGGTCGAGCTCTCCCCGTCCTAGGACTGGCGCGTGTTGGCCGAGCTCTTCCGCGTCCCAGATCACCCAAATTTTGGGCTGCGCGCTTGTGATGCCTGGTTACCTTCGCCCCTTCGCGCCGCATTCTATTTAGGGCGTAAAAAAAGCACCTACCCTGGTTTATGAGGCGCTGTGCGCTGAACCTCCTGTGGGCTGACTGGGTAAACCCTGTGTATCGCGCGTGCCGCGCGGCGTCCTGGCGGCTGTCTGGCCGGTGGGAGTTCCCAGGAGGCTTACTGACCACGGACTCGTAACCGAGGGTCGGGGCGTTTTTTCGTTCCTAAATTCTAACTAAACGGCAGACCTTCGGACCAGACCGCGACGCGCGACGCGCGACGAAGTTCGCGCCCGCGCGGGCAACCTGGCCATCAGGCCTCCCTCCCGAGGGGCAACGTTTTGTGGAGGGGGGGAACAGCTCGGGGGGGTAACCATCGAGCATGAATCGGCGATACTGAAGGGGCCCAAGGACACGCACATTTTCCGATATCTTCTAAGTTTTTGTCTTCCCGCCCAAGTTCAATATGTTCGTATATTTTCCTGGGGATCGCCGATTAATTGTGTCTGTGTTTTTTTTCCCCTCCTGAATGTGGAGGGGGGAACAGCTCGGGGTCGGGAACCATCGAGCATGAATCGGCGATACATCGCCCATGTCGGTCATACGCTCCCGATGGCGAGTCCGCACTGTCACGGTCGGGGCAGGCTATCAGGCGCCTGTAGGCGATCCATGGGCAACTGAGGGTCGATGTGCCCCCCCCGAGCCTATCCGCCCCTAACTGTGCCCATCGTGCTTTTCCCCGTCCTCGTCTGCGGCCTCATGCTCGCCCGTCTTCCCCTTCGTACTCCTCCTGCCATTGCCGTCGCACTCCTGTCCCCTCCTGCTCCAGCTCCTCCCCGAGGAGACTGGCCAACAAAATCCGCCGATCCCTGCTTGCCAGGGGTGATGGTGCGTGTGGCATGATTGGTTGTCCTCCCCCCCCCCGACTTCCTCCCTCATCCGGGGTTCCACATCTCAGAATTTGGGTGGTGATGTGGGGGGGGGGGGGGGGCGAAATCTCCAACGCACCTCCAGGGCATTTGGAGCCTCCAGCGCCACCGTCCGAGACCTCCACGATGCAATCTAAGATGGCCCCAGACGGGATCCAGCACGCTGGAGAAGCCTCAACACAAACGCATGATGGCCGCAAGACACCCCTAAAGGCCCCCACGACGCCGTAAGAGAGCCCCAAAGGATATCCAAGACGGCAAGCCATCACTGATACCCCTTGAGGAATACTCAAGACTGCCCGCGAGGACCCCCAGACACACCCAAAACGGTCCAAGAGCCCCCCAAGCTGGTGTGGACACGGCCAAAGGGGGCCCCAAGACGGGCAAGAAACGCCTTCAAAGAGGGCCGTCACAAGGGCCTCGCGACGGGCCCAATATGGGGAACTCCCAGGGACCCCGGGAACCCACCCCGCCAAGATCGCTCCCAAGAGCCCCAGCATGCCCCCGAGGGTTCCCAGAAGCTCCAAGAAGACCCCCAAAGGCTTCCAAGAGGTCGCCCCCGAAATATCCAAGAGGTCCCGCAACAGAAGCGGAGGCAGAGAACGACGAATCCGCAACGACTACTCGCAAGCAACACGACGGGAAGCGGCTAACAACATATCCGAATCCGAAGCCGCACGTCTTCTCGCCTAGAGATCGAGGAATTCGTGGAAACGCAACGTGTTCGATCTATCATGTGCGGCGGCTGGCGGCGCAGATGCCTTGCGAGAGAACGGTGCGATGCCATGAGGAACTGTTGCTTACGACTGTAGCGTTCGACGAAGGCCAAGAATTGCGATGCCGACCAATGCTGTCCCGGGGTCACCTCCACCCGGGAACATCTACACTTCTGCTCTCGTCCTCTCCCCTTCCCGCCTGCCTTCCGTTCTCCTCCGACCATTGCTGCGTACCAAAAACCAGATTCAGGACACCCGAGATGCCTTGCATTTCGTTGCGGCTTGTCTTCATGTGTGAGTATTGACTGACCAATTCTAAGCGCTTCGCGTATCCCCACCAACTTTGTCACCGCCTTGCCTGGCTGCGTCTGGCTCCCACCTCGCCGCTGGCGCCGGGCTCAGATCCCCTCAGCCCCCGGTGGATGCGTCCGTCCCTGGCGCCTCTGGCTCTCATACTGTTCCGTGGAGCCGAGTTGGCCCTGGCGTTCAGGTGTCGTGCGTTCTGGCCAGTTCCGGCACAAGTGCTTGCACTTCTCTGGTTTCTGGTTGTCTGCTGGCCACATGGGGCACTTGCCCTGCGGTTCACTCAGGAGTGGTTCTGCCTTCTTGAGCGGCCAGGCGTGTCACCTGTCGGTCTGCTGCCCTGTCCTCTGGCGCCCGGTGGCGACAAGGTCCAATTCAAGTGCCTGGCGATTCAGCTCCTGTGGTGCTCGCACGTTGCAGCATCCTGGCAGCCTCCGCAGCTGGCAGTCCCCACCCTCGGCGCAGCTCAGCCCCGGCGGCCACTTCCACCGGCGGTAGGTCTTGCCTTGCTCGGCGCGCGCGCGCCGGCAATTAGGTTGCTCGTAACCCGAGCCAACTCTGCTGACGCTGCCGGCGCCTTCGCCTGCGGCCGCGACAAAAAATATCCCCACCAGTTGCCTGTTGTCCAACTTGTGCGACAACATTTGTTCCTTTCTACCCTCGGGTAGTGCCGTCCGCGCCTCTCGGATGACCTGCTCTTCACAGGTGCTTGGTGCTCGGTGCCCTACGTGGTTGGCTTGCGGCATCTGCGCTACCCGCACACCCTGGCCGCCGAGGGGCCTCGTTTCTCGCACCATTTTGGCTGCGTTCCCGCTCTTGGTGCTCGCGCACGGTGAAGTTCTACCAGCACGGCAATGGAGGCCTCCTAGATGGGGTCGGAGTAGATGAGGTCGGAGGATCGCGCCGCATCGCTGATACATCGGCGATGCATCGGCGATGTTACGGCGATGCATCGGGGATGCACCAGCGATGCATCGTCGACGTCGGCGATGCATCCGCGACGCCGACGTGGGGAAACACGGTCTCCACATCGACCCGCATCGTCGATGCATCGGCGATGCGGCGGGATCCTCCGACCCCATCTGCTCCGACCCCATCTGCCTGTCGATCGCTGCACGCGGTGCGACAGTGGTGGTCTGCACGCCAGGCTCGCCCTCCTGCCCATTCACGCCTCCCGAAGGATGCGCGCCAAAGTTCGCCCTGGCGAAGGTTCACTCTGACGTGTAGCCGATCCGGGGGCCGTCGTCGTCGTCGCTCGTTCATCGTCTGTCGTTCCCGCCTAGAGGCAATGCGTCTCGGGCCTGCTTCAGGCTCCTCCTGTTCGTCAAGGGTGGCTCCGCCCCTGGTCCTCGTGCTCTTCGTCTTTGGCACGCTCTTCTGGAGGCAACTTCGCGGGCCAAGCGGTGCTTCTGTACTACCCCTTTCTGCCCGCCGGATGCCGTTCGCCTCGCTGCTTCTCCCTGATCTACCGTGCGCGGCCCGCCCTAGCTTGCTCGGCGTTCGACTCGTCTTCGCGCGCCCGCGGACCAAAAAGTATCCCCTCCAGCCCATCCAGAAACGATGTCCAGGCGAGTTGAGGTGATCAGGGAAGCGCAGGAACAACGAGGGGGACGGCCGAACCGTGCGAAGGAGGGAGGAGAAGGAAGATGCTGGTTGGATGGATGAGGGAGTGGAGAAGAAGGATGAATAGGATGAGGAGGAGGAGGAGGACGACGACGAGGAGGAGGAGGAGGAACAGGAATAGGAGGAGGAAGGAGGAGCAGGAGGCGGAGGGCAGAAGGGCCAGAGGTCTCCTGGATGCCTCTCGGAGCACCTGGGGGTATCTTTTGGGCGCTTCTTGGTGGCCTCTTGGGACGTCTTGGGGGTCTCTCGGCGGTCCTGGGGGGCTCTCGGGCGCATTGGGCGCCTCGGGGGGCCTCCTGCAGCCGCTTGGGGTCTCTTCGGGCCTCCTGGGGGCCTATTGGGGCCATGATGGAGCCGTCTTGGGGCAATCTTGGGGCCTGCTGGGCGCCTCTTGGGGCCATCTTGGAGGCCATCGATCGCAATTAGCCGTGCCCCCCAAAGGTGCCAACATGGGGCCAACACCATAGTAAAACCACTGATTTTGGCTTCCTCGCCGAGGCCGTTTTGGACGCTCCAGGTGGGTCGCGGCACCGCCCGTCCAGGTCCAAGGGAGGGGGCAGGGGGAGGGGTACACCCCTCCCCGAAGGGGAAGAGTAAGGGGTGGAGGAGGAGAAGGAGGAGGAGCAGGAGAAGGAGGAGGAGAAGGAGGAGGAGGAGGAGGAGGATATGAGGAGGAGGATATGAGAAGGAGGAAAGAGGAGGAGGATGAGGAGGAGGAGGATATGAGGAGGATAGGAGTAGGAGGAGGAGGAGGAGGAGGAGGAGGAGGAGGGGGAGGATAGGAGGAAGAGGAGGAGGATATGGGGAGGAGGACACTTCCCAAACCACCCACGCCCAGAGGGCTGGTGGGATTCCCCTTCCCCCGCGCCACTCGCCCTCGGTGCCTGCTCCTGCTCCGCGGATGCTCTCAGGCTTGCCTCGGGACGCGCGGTGGGCCTGAAGTGCGAGCCCTCGCTGCCATCGTCGCTTCCCCCCGCTGTCCCGCAGCAGAGCCGCCTGCAGTGTGACGTGGCGGCTTGTCTCACCGTCCTGGCAGTGCACCTCCGACGTGCAACTCTCTCGCTCTCCCGCTCCCTCTCTCTTCTCGGGAGCGGCCAGGAGGGGGGTGTCCAAGAGGGGGGGGGGGTGCAAATCATGACCGGCGGCATGTGCGCGGCCCAGCGGGGGGGCCAGGGACGTAATGAAATAAGAAGGGGCGCCATGAAATCTGGGGAAAAATCATGGCCCCCCCCATGATATCCCCCCCCCTAGTCATCACCCCCCCCTCTTTTCCGCCCCCGATCTTCACACTTTCTCTTTCTTGAGTCGTCAAGCCTTCTTGTGTGCTTTCACAGCCGAGCCTTGCGACCCGCGGCCGCCCGAGGACACCAGGCAACATCATTGACGTTCTCATTGGGCGCGCGGCGCCGTGACCCCATGAAGGGGCCCCAGGACACACACATACATACACACAAATAACAAGATGCCCCATATGGTTCCCATATTTTTGTTGGTGTTTGTCTTCCCTCCCACTTCCCATATTTTTGCATATTTTCCTTGGAGTCGACGATTAATTGTGTCTGTGTGTTGTTTCCCTCCTGACCCCAGAGCCTGAGGATGCCACCATGCTGCGAAATCGCTTTGCTGCTGATGCATCGCATTCTCCGCCTGCCCAGTAGGACGGCCCTTCGGCAAATGTTGGCCTGGACCAAATGCGCGAATGCGATGTCCGTCCCTTTTGCGGGGTCTTGGGTCGGGTTTTCTCGTGGACCCGCCCTTGCAATGGAACCCAATCCGAACCCGCCCTTCCAATGCGGACCCAATGCGGACCCGCCCTTGCACCCAACTGCGAAGCTGGGCCGATCCTTTTTATCCACCTCCTTCTCCTCCATCTCCTTCCCCCCCCAGTCTCCCGCGTAGTTACCTCACTCTGCTCCTATCCCTCCATCCTCCTCCGCATCCCACCCCTACATCCACGTGCCTCTCAGTCTCTGCCTCCTCCCCCTCCTGCTCCCTCCCTCTTCGTTTTTACCTCCCTGGCATGGATTGCAGATCCGCGGATCTGGCGCGTGGGAGCTAGATCCACGGATACTCCCCAGCGCATGAAACCAATGCCGCCTCACTTGGCGACGGGGCGCGTTGATTTTGCACGGAAGCGGGGCCCGTCGCTGATCCACGCGACTCCATCCATGTAGTCGAACTCACCTCTCTGCCCGCCTCTGTCTGCCTGGCTGCTCCTGGCTTGCTGGTTCGCGACTCCTCGCCTCCACGCCGCAGGAACAAGGGGGGGGAATCAGGAGAGGCCGCAACACAGGCGCATCGAGCAGAGATCGACCTATGCTCTTGCAGCGGTCTAGGGTGCAGCTCATTATGTCGCACACGAGCGCAGTGGAGGTGCAAGGAGTGCAACGGGAGGCTGACAGGGGAGAAACGCAAGCTGCACAAACACCCTTTCGGCGGTCAGCGAGGATTTCTTGGCTCGGCGCTGACCTCCCTCCGTGGTGCGCGGGGCGCGCCAGAGGCGGCGCTGAAAGCGCCGCCAGGGGCCCAACGCCGATCCAAAACATCCGTGCGGAACTCCGACACTTGGTGTCTATGCTATTGTTCCGTTCGGGGTCGAGGGAGAAAACAAAAGACATATATAATCCAATTGATGCGGGCTGAACCGAACGGTCATTCACTGTCCCTGGGTGCGTGGCTGAAGTGGACCCGCGACCCGCCCCGCGACCCACCCGCGACCCACCCCGCGACCCACCCGCGACCCACCCGCGACCCATCCCGCGACCCACCCGCAACCCACCCCGCGACCCACCCGCGATCCACGCCGCGACCCACCCACGACCCACCCCGCGACCCGCCCGCGACCCACCCCGGGACTCGCGACCCACCCGCGACCCACCCACCCGCGACCCACCCCGGGACCCCGCGACCCACCCGCGACCCACCCGCGACCCACCCGCGACCGCGACCCACCCCGCGACCCACCCGCGACCCACCCGCGACCCACCCGCGACCCACCGCGACCCACCCGCGACCCACCCGCGACCCACCCCGCGACCCACCCAAAATTTTCGAGGCCTGCGGCCGACTTCTTTGGCACTCGTTCCACGTGGAAGAGAACCTGCGAGCCTCCCGCGACCCAAACCGAGTTCAGTGTACAACTCAAAATTTTCGGCGCCTGCGGCGGGCTGTTTTTGAATTCCTTTCAGGTGGAGGTGGAGAACCCGCGATCCACCCGCGGCCAAAACTAAGTTCACTGAGCAAGCCAAAGCTTCGGCGCCTGCGGTGGTTTTCTGTTGCATTCGTTCCAGGTGGAGAA